AGAATACTAATAATAATAATTATAATAATAATAATGATAATAATTGTAATAATATTTTATATATATATATATATATATATATATATATATATTACACTTATACTAATATAATATATATTAATATATCATATCTATATATAAGAATATATAAAGCTTGTTGATGGTAATTAGTATGGGTGTATTACTGTACACTTATTATACTATATACCATCAACCACGCTTGCCGAAGGTAATTAGTATAATGAAACACGCATACTAATTACCCAACAACTTGTTGACGTTAATTAGTATTATTGTACACACATAATAATTACCGTTAACAACCGTCAACAAGTCAACAACCGTCAACAACGCTTGTTGACGGTAATTAGTATATCCTTCTCTCTGGCGGGTATCTGCCTCTGGAACTGGCACCATCAATGCCGTAGCTAGCTATTGGGATAGCCCACACAAATTTTGTAATGGGTCTACAAAGAGTGGGTCCACATTTTAAAAAATGGGTCCAAATTATTCAATTTTATGCATAAAATGAGTCAAATTTTGGAAAAATGGGTCAAGATTTCTCATATTGAACCTAAAATTGGTAAAATTTTAAGAAAAGGGGTCCAGTTTTTCCATTTTGTGCGTAAAATGGGTCATCTTTGAATAAAATCCGGTAGGAGTATTTTCAAACAAACTCATAATCGTGACAAAAACACAGTATTTCTTTTTTTAAATCAGCCATAGGCCTACAAAATTTGTTCAACTTAAATAGTTTTGCAGACAATCGGTATTTTGTGTGTGATTTCACGTGGCTATCCTCCACCAAGAATGTGGTTTATCGCCTATAATAGGCCTGGCCTACCGTATATCTCTAGTCTAGTCATAATAAAAAATTCAGTTTTTGATAACTTTTTATTTTTAATTTTCTATGTCATATTAACTGAAAAAGACTACCAATCTTTTGGCGTTTATCGATTTGTTGGTAACGGGTGACCTTCTAGAATCTGCGTGGTGGTCACGGGGGGCGCAGGGATGGCGCCAGGATTTGCCCAACGAGGGGGCCGAGGTCCCCGACGAGGGGGCCGATTTCCCCCGACGAAAGCAATGTGGGCGTGGTCGAGCTACGATTAAAAGGTTTTGAAAGTGGTCCAGGGGGCGAAGCCCCCGAAAATTTTAACAATTTAGGGGTTTTAAAGGCTTATTTTTAGCCTATAAAATCGATTTTAGAGTCTATATTAAATTCTAATATGTAGAAAATACACTGTATTTTTTCTCCCCGACGAATTGTGTTTTTTCTCCCCGACAGAGGAGCCAGCACTTCCCGACGGGAGAGGGGGGGGCTGTGGCCCCCAGTCCCCCGCTGGCGCAACCCCTGCGAGGGCGGTCACCCCTACTTCACATTTGCCAAGTTGTGTTTTGGCCTTCAGGCACTTTATTGAAAAATATTCATCGAATGGTTATTAATTTAGTTACTTTAAATATAGTTTTTTATAATTTAATTTCTTCTCGCGGGCCGGAATGATTTGCTCCCCTGGGAAAATTTGGCCCGCGGGCCGCCTATGACCAGGACTAGAGAAATTAATCCGGGACTGTTCAGGGAGATGTAAAATACGGGTCTATAGACGTTATTGCTGACCACTCTTACATACACGTACGAATATCAGGTGACTTATCGAACAGGGGTTTGGTGGTGCCTGTTGTGTCAGTAGTGTTGCATGTCATAACATCAGAATTTGCTGGTGAATCCCTGGAAAAGACAGTCTATTTTTCAAGGTAGGCCTATGTCGTCGGCTATGAAAAGTATTTTTACTAAACTATGCAGACATAAATCTTACATAATGTTAATAAAAAGTGAAAGAGAGGCCCTAGGCCCGCCGTCCTAGGCCTACTAGCTACTTTAGCTAGGCTAGGCCTAGTTAGTGCCCTAGTTAGGGCTAGGCTTTTTAAGCTTTAGGCGTGACACGCCCAGGAATACTAGGCTAGGCCTAATAAATGTAGGCATAGACCCCTAGGCCCTAGGCCTGTGGTAGGCCCTAGAGAGTGGCCTGGTGGAGGCAGAGGGTCTATCTGACTGATAGTGTAGGGTAGGCCTACTACTACTACGATAGAAGATGGGCCCGCCTAGCCTAGGCTACTACTACTAGGCTATAGGGAGCGCTAGGCCTAAGCCTGGTGTTACTGTAGTAGGCTTAACATTTTGTCACAGCAGACTGAGTTAAGTCGCAGCCTGCCTGGTAGTCGGCGCTAATGCACTTCTTATGGCTAGGCAGTTGTGGCGCCAGCCAAGTGGGGTGTCGGGGAATTTGATCCCCACCGGACCGCCCTTGATCCCCACCGAACCACCCTTGACCCCCGTCATCTGACGCATGACTTTGCCTATCCAAATTGTTTAAATATTATGCTTTTTTTTAAAGTATATTAAAATATATTATTCCAAATAAGTTTTAATTTTGGGGCACATAGAAAATTTTTTTACAAAAATTGATGAGATAGGTTTTTTTTTTGGGTGGGGTGGAATTATACCTGGGGAATCCCGGTTGCATGATGAGAAAATGACATCGTTATTTGAGGTGGCAGATGCATTTAAACAACTGCCCTGGACCTACGAATACCATTCAATGTCCTATCCAAAACTACTGTATATTCTGGTGAAAAAATCAGCCATGTCGTAGGTTATTTTTTGCCCAACAACAACCAATCCGACTAATCACACCCATCGCAAGCAAGACCGCCCACTTGTAATGCGTGACGTATCAATTTATTTTTAGCAGCGAGAGTCTCTGTGTGTAACATGTGAGCTGTGAATCAACAATCCGATTAGCTCACTGGGTGAGTCTCTTTAGAGACGGACTGCGGTGTTGTCTATAATTGTTATCTGCAGTTATCAAGCTGTTTATTTTGAACAGTAAACAACAAGTTTAAAGAATGGGCTTTGCATTAAACTTTACGGCGACTAATGTCTGATCTACTCAATTGGAAGAGTTTGAAGTCTGCCGAATTCGGAGCCAGCCAATTCCTTTATATTTTGTGAGCAGTTGTTTTTTGAGAAGTTTTTATTTATGCAGTAAAAATAAATGATGCAGCAAAAAAAAAAATTAATATTTCCACATGAATATATCCTAAATTTTTGATGCGGGCGGGAGCGATAATCTAATGATTTTTTTTTCTATTTGCCCTTTATTGATATTTTTTATACATGATTGTTTTAAATTATATTGTCATCAATAATGTAATAATGATATAATATAAGGGTGGGGGTAGTGGTAATAATGATAACTATTATTATTATTATTATTATTATTATTATTATTATTATTATTATTATTATTATTATGTTACTAACACCTACCTTAAGGGGAACTTAGACAATGGAGAAATTAGAGAACAATTAAAAAAATGATGTTAAGGAAAAAATGACACAAAAGATATTCCCCTTAAGTCTGATTTAGAGAAATTATTATTTCATCATTATTACTCTTGGAAAAGCCACCTTCGGCAGCTTTCGCGAGGTTGTAAGGTACTGGGGCGGTTCCAGTTACTTGCAGGATGAATGAAATAGTGTTTAAAGTTTTAATGAAAGAATGAATGAAATAATATTATCCTGAACATTTTTCTCATGACTGACCAGAGATGTCAGAAAGGGGCGACATGTCGGGCCAATCATGATAACGAGGGGGGAGGGTAGGGGCACGCCTCCGCAAAATTTTTTTTTTTTTAGACGTCAAAAAATTACCTGAAGCGTTTTTGGCGATCAATTTTTTCCCCCTCCCCCTCAAATCTGCCCCTACTCTAACATGTTAAGGGTGGTAGGAGGACCGGACATGGACAACCATCGCCCATGGGTCCGTCTAGAAAATAATCATTCTGTGAAGCCTAGTTGGCCAAATGCTGCAAGTTTTGCCATAACAGACTTATTCTAAAGCATAATATTGAGTACTGCTTTGTCTTTAACTGTAATTTTAGAAAGACCTTTGGAAATGAAAGTCAAATTACTTTTTAAATTAAGAACATTGAGCCAATACAAATTTTGCTTATAATGTTCAAGCAGGTAAGATACTATGTCTACTGCTAAAGAATATGGTAAAAATAGATTATACAATACATGCTAAAATTTTGTGAAGAGGTCAATTTGGGTCACCGAAGGGTCATGACTAACACGGCATTGCGTTGCAGCTAAAAGGTGTACCACAAAACACGCGTTTTCTGAACACGAACCCTATAACGAATGCGTGTAAAAACACGCATTTTTGGAATGCATTCCTAACCGTGTTTTTGTTTTGTGGCCCGTTTCTACTGGGGAAAAAAACATGTGTTTTTTAATAACCGTTTAAAAACATGTGTTTTTTTGCTCAGCAGAAACAGGCCCTAAGTATGAATGTAATTTGAATATTGAATTCTCACATGTGTTGCTTTTGTAGCATGACAAATCATCGTCCAATATTTTGTAGACTCATATTATTGTAAAATTGTTTTTTTATGGTATTTCAATAGACATAATAGGAGCTCAAAATATGCCAGTAATAATAAGACATTTAAAAGAATGGTGCTACAATATATTTCTTCCAGAGCTGTGTACGCGTCTGGATGGCAAATCGGCACAAACATTAAGGCCTTACTAAATTTATTATATAGATTATTGTGTGCTTATTCTAAAGTATTACCTCCAAACAGTGTAATGGGAGACCTACCAGATAGTGATTTGGTTCACTTTTTAGGAATCTTGTCTCTGCCTGTTTATGTTCGTTTTTCTTTCACTGTGCATGTTTTGCAATGTAACCTGTTCTATTTCTTTGAGGCATAATAAATTAAATGAAATGAAAGATAACGCCAATCCCTAAATTGTGTCTAAAAGTACATTTTGGATCACACTAAACCCTGTGAACTCTACGTGGAAGGTTTCATTCCGGGCCGTCGACTGAGGCTTCGTCGGCCCTTGGCTCGGACCCCTCTGTCGCGCATTTCGGACCCCTTGTCGGCAAATTTCTAGCGCCACCGCTGGACCTAGGCTCTAGATATGAGAAGGTAAAACAACTTAATTTCTACGAATCCCAAGGAGAATATAATTAAGTGGGCCCACTTTATTAATTCTATACTAATTAGGCTAGGTACTCCTTTGCCTAAAGCTAGTTAGTAGGGGAACCTCATGCCAAAGGACTATGCCCAGATTTTCAAATTCAAATTATTATTTTTTTTCTAACTAGATAGTACTGTAAGCCTATTCCTAGTCTCCTAATGAAGATTTGGGCTGTACTTTTTACAGGTTTTGAAGTAGTTCACACTACTTTTCAGATATAGCTACGAATATTCCATGGCTTATATTATAATAAAGAAAAATAAAAGATTAAAATTTACAGTATGCATATTGTGGCCTTACAAATTACGTCTTTAGACGAGGGGTTGGTTATCCTTCTGAGTACCAGTAGACTGGGTTCCAGTCCCTAATTTTGTCTTGATCAGTGAAAAATATTAAAAATAAACTAATGCAGCACCTATGGCATTCCATATTACTTATTTGCATGGTGTTCCATAGTATAATTTTTTTCCATTACCATTCAAATTCAACAACATAGCAAAAACAAACACTGATGGCACTCTTCAAAATTATTTAAAATTATGGATACAAGAATTGAGACTTGTGGCAAGTCTAGTATACCAATTGAAATCCAGTCCAACTGAGCACCTGGATGTTGGTTAAAATATAAATGTATAAAAATGATTTGGGGACTTGACTACTTCCACAACAAATTGTTGATAAGTATCTGTTTTTTCCTAATTTCAGTTAATGAATAATTTGAAAAGTGATAGCATTTGATGAATTATTAACTTCAGAGAGTAAGTGTTGAAGCAATTGACAATGTTTGCTGCAAACTACTCAGCTACTGAGGGTCAAATCAATGATGCAGAAAATGAGGACAGTATATCTTTCAAACTCCCAGATTTTACACCAACCAATCCGTGGCCATCTTCTCCTAACTTCGAAGAAGATTTCATCATGATTTCTGAATTTTGTGAAATCGAAGGTCCAAATCCATTGGTAAGGAATAACTGTACTTTGCCATATTCTTTTTTTTTATATGAAATAATTCATAGAATAAGTAATTTATCTTCTATGAAATTTCTGGTTGGCTAAACCATAGAAAGAAGAATGCAATCACACTCTAGTAAGTATTGTTTGCCTTGACTGTTCTGCCGTATTCGCCCCTTGGCCCAGAAATTTATCCCAAATTCTCTAGTTACACTGCTTTGCTTAATTTCCCATCTCAACAGTTAGTAATTCCAACTCATGGAGGCGGTGCTTTTAACAAGGAGCAGTTTGCTGTGAACATCATGTCTGTTGACTACAACGCCACCAACTCATCCCGTGCTGCATCCGGTGAATTCACAATTTCTGATGATACGTGTCTACTACAGGAGGAGTTGCGTGAGGGCGCCCATGCATATGTAAGCTATTTAAACTTTAACCATTCATTTCCAAACATGGTAGAGTGGTCCTCTTTCTTTGTTTTTTTTTTTTAACTGCCATCACTTTAAAATGTAGATTCTTAAACATATAAAAAAGTAGTATGCTTATTCAACTTTTATGGCAAAAGGTTGCTTTGGATTTTTTTTTGTTAATGTTAGTTTACAGTACTTGCTTAATTAATATGAAAACATTAAACATTTTATGTTACTCAACTTTTAACAAACATTGTAGGCTCCCGGTCTAATTTAATAATACATCTGAGGGTGTTTTTTTTAGTATTTGGCATAAATTTATTGCTATATTTATTGTAATTTATTATTACGGTATTATTTTTATTGTTGTTATTGTTATTATTATTATTATCCATATGTTAATTCGTTAATGCATCGGCATAACTTAACCTATCTCCTCGGAAACCGCTGGCAGGAATGTGTTCGTTTTCCATACGCTCTGGGGTTCTATATGTCACAAACATGAAAAGCTGTTTTTCTAGTCCGGATATTCGATGACAATAAAAAAAAAACAACCCAAAATAAGTACCTTGATGCCATGTTTCGCAAGTTGTTTAAAAAAACTACAAACACAGCATCCCTTCGCTTCTGTACCGTAGTGCTTCGTGGCAGCAAAATATCGTGCCAGGTTGCCAAAAAAAAGTATCATCACCTTGGGCTATGTTCCACAACTTTGTTACGTCACATAGAAACTAAACCATCTCCTCGGTTCTGTTCCTGCAGTGCTTCACGTCAAAAAAATATTGTACCAGGCCACAAAATAATCAGTCTGATCCTCTCGGTGTTGATGAGCCAATAGGCATGTTCAGTTCCAGTACTGAGCTGCATGCTATACGGTAAGTGCTACCAGCTGTCCTAAGTATGGAGTGTCCATTGCATTAAATACTGAATATAAAAATATTCTTAATAGCTCAAAACATCTCAATGAATCCAGGATGTTTTAGAAATCGATCAGGTAAAAATACAAGGCATATGCCATGTTATACTCCTTGGGACAATGCATGATATAGGCTAGGCCAAATAATTTCACCTAGGCTAGGGTCAGGCCTAACTAGCTAGGCTCCCTCTCTCTGTTTCAAATTTCTAGATCTGCCACTACAATAATACAAGCGACAGCATCACCGTAAAAATACATATATAACATTATAGTTATTATTCAATGATAGTTGAATATTCTAAAGACAAAATATCAAAGAATGTGATGGTTTTGGGAAATTAGGTCTCGTTAAATTAAATTTTACACAATTTTATGGCTACTACTGGGATAAGAAAAGTATGTTTTCAACGCCATGGCCTTAAACACCCGAGGGCGAAATGACCCACACCTATTCTTTTATAAGAATTTACGTATCCATCGGAACAATTGGCCACAGCCTATTTTGTCAGTTATAGGCTTACATCCACCTACTACAATCATATTAAAAATATTTATCTCATGCCCAACTATGTTGCATTTTCATGTGCAAGAGAGTATTGTACTCCATTACCAAATTGGACAATTCCTCACAAGGACTATTGCTCAGAGACACTCATGCAAAATGTTATGTACAAAGAGGTCTTTTAGAAAAATGATGACAAGTAACTATAACATCCTCAATGGTTGTCTCCTCAGCTTTCCATAACATTCAACTACTGTATATGCCTTGCCACCTTTCCACACTCATTTAACACCGTGCGGAGCAGGGGTATATTATGTTAGTTATTTTATTTTTATTTTTAATATTATTCTATTATTATATTATTTGTATTTTCTCGGTTGGCCTATATTATTTTTGTGTAAAGCGCATGGGGAAAAATAGAAAATGTCTGGAATTTGACTAAAAAAATAATATTGTTTTTAGCATTTAAGCATGATTGTTTTTGTTTAATCACATCCTAAATTATCAATAATGATCCACGTTCCTTCCATTTAAGGAAACAAACTAGAAAATTATTGTGAAATGACTTCACATTAAATGTTTATTTTTTTCAAATTTTATTATTTTTTTGGAAGCCTAAAATATTATTGAATACAACCACGCATACATATTAAGCTGTAAAAAGATTTTTGTTAAAAATGCTGGTGCTTCTAATGATTTAATGGTGGTTGCTAAACTTTGTGAATCAAACAAGCTAGTTGAGTAATACCAGTGATTCTAGTTTCTGATTTTAGTTTAGTGCCTAACAATTAGTAAATGGTGGATATACACCATGCAAGTAGTTTTCAGGAGAGTTGGTGTGTTCATAGCAATATTTTGAATAAATTTGCTAGGCTATTCCTATTCATTAAACAACATTGACATACTCTCAACACATCAGACCTCCTCGGAACTATGTATCTTCCGCCATGCAAACGTTTTATAATAATATTCGTAGCATTTTTAAATTTCATAATATTATAAATTTTTACCTTTTAGAATGTAATCAGTCATTTTATTTTTATTAATAATAATAATGATTTACGTTTGGAAACTTTATCACAACAGTCTAAAATGAAGTACATGTTATTTGATTCACTAAAACATTCTCAGTTAGTAAAAAAACACTAGTATAATACAAAAAATATAGATTTTTTAATGAATATTATTTATTGTATTGTTCAAGACTTGAATGTGATTATTAAGGTTAGGAGTGTGTTCTTGTGGCAATTATAGAGACTTTTTATAGAGATTAATGTTTAAACATCCTATTATGAGCACTCATCAGATTATTGATTTTTTTAACCTGTTATTATACAATCTCTTATTTTGTAATCAATTTTGTTTATGTTTTTACTTATTTATTAAATTATTGAATGTCATATTATATGTGGTATTTTTATTTAAACTATTTTAATTCATTTCTGAAGGTATTTTGGTTATATTTTGTAGAATTGAATTAAATTAAAACTTTGAATGATAGTCAATAGAATTAATTTCAACTGATTTATTATAAGACCAATTGGCTTCTTTTTGAGATAAGAGTCTTTTCGAGTTTACTTTTGCAAACTGCAAACTTACAATATGCAAAGTACAGTAAGCATATTGAGATTATTTTAACATTTTTTTTAGTTGAACGCAGTAGAATATCTTTAACCTTAACCTACATAATATTTCTATGTCAACCTTTTTAAGATTAAAAACACAAATACAGTATATATCTAACTTACAGGATTCAACTTTAAATACAATTATGAAATCCTCAATTAAGTTTAACTCTTTAAGACTTGCTTATATCTTACAAGCACCATATAAACCTGATTAAATAAAGAAGATAATTCTAAACAGGATTAACACTAAATAAAGATAAGCACTTGAAGTCTTAAGAACACTGTACAAAACTTCATGATACAAAATATTTAACAAGAATAATTAAACTGTACTTTGTATTTTTTTTTGTTTAGGTGCACCACTTCACTTTGTATGACATTTATGCAAGAGGGTTTGTCAGACCATTTTGTCTAGCTTACATTACATCTGAAAAAAGGTACAGTAATCTAAATCAAATGGTATATTGAAATAATGAAATTCCATGATATTAGAAGTACGAAGATTAGCTATTAACCCATCAATATAGGAAAAAGAGTCGTGGGAGTCTCCTGGAAATATTGATGGCCTCTTCCACTTTCGCAAGCAAGCAATAATCTCTCAGTAAAAAATCCATACCGTCTCCCACAAATTTATAATATTTCATGCTTTTCTATTTTATTATCAATTGTCCCATGGAAGTCGGTGCTTTTGGGTATCACCATGTACAGCAAAATAGAATTAGGTTGAATTGAACTAAAGCTCATTTAACCAGATATTTTAGAATTGACTTCTTCCAACTAGGGAACCCTCTTCTGGTACCAGAGAGCTTATTGGACCCCACATCAGTTACTTTTTCTCTGAGCACATTATCTCCATTGGAAATTGTCAGTCCCTCTGCTGGACAGCTTACCACCCTCCCCACTTCCAAGTGGGCCCTTACTCCCTTAATGAATATTGTAGAGCCAATATTGCTGCAGTAATCTATAAAAATAGGCTTCTGATAGGAGCATGAATATTGTAGAGCCACTATTGCTGCAGTAATCTATAAAAATAGGCTTCTGATAGGAGCATGAATGTACTGCAGATACTACAGTAGATCAAAATTAATGTAAACATAGTTCATTATCGGACAAGGTGCTATCAGCCTTGCACAGCATGAACTGAAATGAACCTTAACACATTCCACTTTACAGAGGAATGTCACTACCACATTATAGAGTATATCTGCACAAGCACAGTATACTCAAAAACAATAGAACAATATGATGCTGTGTATGGAATGCTGTTGATTCAAGGATTTTGTTTAATATCCTCTCAATTTGTAGTTCATTCAACTACCTAATATGGAAAGAAATGTTCAGATAACAATAGATTGCAGTTTCCACTTCTTAATATGTATTTAAGTTTTTGTTTCTTTGATATTTTATTATTTGAATCATTTAAAATAAATGATGAATACTTGGGTTCTGATGAATTCTGATTTCTGCTTTTTTCATACAGTCACACTGTTACTGTTTTTCCATTAGCAGTCAAATTGATTTTGAGAAATTCTAATGAACTTTTGTCAATTCTAGTAAAATTTAAAAAGTTAATGTGTTATAGTTTCTTGATACATTCTGATGTGTGGTTTTCTTTATATATATATTTTCAGTAAACTTGTGAATCACTTTGAAATAATGATGAACAAATTTAGGAAAGTTACAGAAGCATTTAAGTATGGAAACCGACACAACTTTTGTGAGGATTTGAAAAGGAAACTTAAGGATTTGGCTTTCACAAAAGGTAAATTTACATGTTTGTGGTTATATCTGTGACATTGCATTGGCTAAATCCTGCCACTTTTCGCACTTGGATTGAAAAACAGTACACCCTCGAATTCTAGACCCCTCTAATTCCAAAACCCTTTTGAGACCATTTTCTCAAAGAACCAAATAACAATTTTTCAATCTTTTAACATAAAGAACCCTCTAACTGGACAACAAACCCCAAGATCACCCCAAAATTTCAGATCCCAACAGTTTTACCAGATATTTGAATGAAAATGATCATATAAATGCGATGCTATAACATTCTAATTTGAAAAATAGTAAAATATATATTGCAAATTCAAATTTAGAAAATTCAAAATTTGAACTTTTGGGTGCTTGATAGTATGCAATGAATGTGTTACCATTACTCATTAAGATTTAAATGACTTGTGCTTGTCACATTTGACTCAAAGGAATTAGTCTATTATTTTAAAGATTATGGAGGGTCAAAGACCAAACTCGCAGCCTGGCATTCTTTTTCCACTTTTGCCTTGGTTTAGCATGGATGCTTCACAGTTTCATGACTGCCCAATTGCTTGCCATACAAGCAGTTACTTTGGTGCAGTGGGAACGGTTTGGTTTCCAGACCTCCAACCTTGAGGTAGGGTTTCAATCCCTCACTGCACTTTGCTTGTGTCCTTTGCTGCTTCTCTCCACCAAGGAGTATAAATGGGTACCTGGTAGGGTCGCCTACTACTGACACAATATGGCAGCAACACTTGCATGTAGACACAATGACCAGGGGAGGCGCTTCATAACCTAAAGGAAAGGTGCTACATAGATACCAAATAACAAATATCAAAAATATTGATTTAGTTCTTTTAGTCCCAATCTACAGTGACTTCTATAATACTTTTGTAATGAAACTATTGACCATCACATTCTATAATGTAGCATTTAAGAAAGAAATATTTAATTTATTATACTTTACAGAAAACCAAATTGCTAAGTCACCGTACTTAAAATCTTTAGGAAAGAATGACAAGATTTCAAGTGACAACAAGGACCTGGAAGACTTCCAGAAAATAATGGCTGAATTGGACAAAGCTATTCAGGAAACCACTCACATCTTAACACAATTTGAAAGTCAGAAGGTGAGAACATTTTAGATAATGAATGTTAAAAGAATACAGTGTGTAAAGGTGCTCACCTACTAAACCAGGATAATAGGTTCAGAGTATAACACTACTAATAAGTACTGTATGACCATGAGTTAAATATATACGGACATGCATTTTACGACCAGGATATTAAATCTTTAAGTATATATGGCCATTTTGAATAGTACCAGCAGTTATTATTGTTGGTATTTTACGTAAAAACAGCTATTGCGTCAGAGGTCATATTATAGTTCTGTCCATAAATAAAGTGCAATGATTGACTCATCATAATCAGTACATTCAAAACACGGCTGCCTGTATTTGTCTTTAAGCTTAGCTATGATGTTACCTCCTTGCTGTGTGAACATTGTTGTCTTTGATCAGAGTATTATTTTCAAATTGCTGTACAGAGTACCACAGTCGTGTCGACACAATGCCGAATAGCGCCCTCTCTTGCCAACCAGACGTTGGTTACCGTTCATACTCCTGAATGACTTCATAGGTTCTCTGGAATAACCATTTTAAAATCTAATATTTTACCATCAAAATGTACTAAAAAACACAAAAGCTCGCATTATATTAGTTATCGAACACACATTTAATCATCAACTAAAATTTACAAAGAAAAACTAAGATACAACATCTTAATAATTACGTTAGAAATTGGGATCAGTGGTTTGTCAGTAGAGAAAATGGCGTCTGGTTGAATGCATTTTGCAACGATAGCAACTGAGTAGTATCACATGGTATCGTGACGTAACACTCTAGTTCTCTATACAGTACATGCATTGCTTACCAGATATACAGTACATACAATTATTGCCATCTTCCTTTTTCTCTCAAAATTTTTGGCTTCTGTGTCTTAGGCTTTGTTTCTGCAGCACTTATAATTTCTCTGAAATTTCTCCGATAAATTATCTTAAAATTCCCTCCAAATATTTTAATCCCATACACAAAATTATGGACAACAATGCAGTGTGTTCAACATCAAAACATCCATTTTGTTGACGTAGCAGGTGACCCTTTTTTTACACGAAATGGATAAGCCTAGGCCAAGGACAAAATCGTCGGTACTATTTCACTCTGGGAAATGTACTGTCACAATGATGTTTCATTGGACTTCTATATCGGAATTCAGAAGAAGGCAAAAAAGAATGCTAGCTTTGTTTGGTGTGCTTTACAGTACAATAAACAATGGTATGGATAAACTATCCCAGCCTACCCAGTGATGTATAGTTTTATTAGGGTTGGGGTACGCAGTTCAGGGACGTCCCTATCTCATGATGCATAGTTAGTTTGGGTTGGGATATGTGGGTTTTTTTCAACCTTAGTGGAGTAACATCCCTACCCTGTGATACATACTTACTATTGTATTATTTTATTGTTTCGTTGTGCGGATATTGGCCCTTGATGGCTCTTGTAGCAAATAAAAGAAATTGAAATTATATTTAATAACCACGAAAAATTTAATCACTTTTAATTTTTAAGTGTTAATACTAGGCCTAGGCCCTAAGCCTACTAACTACCGAAAAGAATTTTTTGCATGACTGTGATTTGACATCAGTCAAAGGTTACTTATTTTCACATTCAGAGCTTTTTCTGATAAATAATCTGATGTTAAATCTGAGAATTTATCGGAAACTTTGGGCCCCGTTTCCGCAGCGAAAAATAACAAAGTGGCTGCTTTCCGATAATTTATCAAGTAAAAAGTGCTGCAGAAACACAGCCTTAGTTCCAATACATATGGATGTGTCGTTTTTACTTAATATGCTGACAGCCTTTCTTCTTTTTACTTTGCAACTTTAAGTCACAGCTTATGACCCATATGTTTTTTTGGTGGCTGTTAACATGTGATTTTAAAAGTAATAAGGTAGTAGAATGGGCTGTAGCACTTCTTGTTGAATCATTGTCTTTGTTGCCAAATTCAATATCTCATACATCATTCATAGGCAATTCAGGTTTGTAGGCCACATATGGATCAGGTGTGCACTTAACTTTATTTTCAAGCGTATGCGTTCTTTGCCGTCTCTGTAAAGAGATATAAATTGAATCAAATTAAAATTGTCCTATGGGAAAACAGTTGACGAAGCAGAAGAGTTATGAGGCTATAAAAACTGACAGAAATCAAATTAACTCAGTGAACATTTTACAATTTGTTGAGTGTCATGTTGCATAATAATAATAGTAATAAGAATAAAGAGAATAAAAATAAAAAAATATGGGGAAATTAAACCAATTCAATTAAAATTATATTTTTGAATCAACTACAAAATTAAACACTAAAACGCAGGAAAGTTTGCAATAAGGAATTGTAAGTTTAGTAAATGTTTCTTCAAGTTCTCATGATTTTATAGATCAATTGTAAATTTCTCCATTGTGGTTTGGTTTGAAAGTGCTACACAGTGTCTGCATTATATTCAGCCTTTGCATAAACAAAGGCATGCCGTCATAATAATTGTTGTTCATGTTTTTGTGTATTATGCAGAATGCTGTGTTTGCTTTTTGTCCAAAATCCCAATTGGTCTATTCAAAAATTGCCTTCTTTTATCTATTATTAGGTTGTATTATAAATTGTTTTTGATGATGATATTATACAGTTTTAGTTTTTTAAATTCTGTGCTAATTATTTTTCAGATCAATAAACGATTAGAAAGACGTTTCAAGAAGATGGAGGCAACAGTGGTTCATCAGCGTCAAAGAGTGCTTTCCCAGTCCGCTAGTTTACACGGTGATGGTTACCATAGTGATTGTGATGAAACACCGAAACAGTTTAATATAAGAAAATGTAAGAACAATGTTGTCTCAACTGAGAGTAATTCAACACTTTCACAGCAAACCATGTGACATGCCTAAATATGGTCATGATGACATCACATCATGACCATCACATCATGTCTATATGGCCATACAACAGTTTTTGGTCAAAATAAAATATAATATTCTGGACAGGCTTAATATGGATATGGCCTAGTTGTTAAAAATGCAGATAATTATAACTTGATTGTATTTTAAGCATAGCCTAGCTTGGGACCTGGTGAAAGCAGTCTCAAGCTAGAGGTTCTATTTTTTGCTAGGCCTCATAATAGCAGAATCTGGCATGATCACTAGCATGGTGCGTCTCCATAAAATCACTATCGAACGTAATTGATGGCTGTCGGCGGTACTGTGTAGTAATTTTATTGAAACCAGACTTCACTTTTTATTTAATGATGATTGAAGTGAAAACACGCACAGTAATTTGAATATTCCAAGTGCAGTTTTACAGTTTGGTTTTAACATTTCAGAAATGTGATTACGTCAGTATGTTCTCTTGAGGCATGTTACACTTTTAACTTAATTGTTTAAATGTCCTTGTGTAAATTTGTTATATTCCATTGCTGGTTATGCACTGCTATTCATCACCCTTGATTCCTAGTTCTGTCAAATATTATTAGTATTAATTATTATTTATAGATATTTATGAGAAAAAAACATTATAAAATGTTATTAATAGTACAGGTAGGGGGAATATTTAATTGATTAACTTTAAATTGATGTTAAACACTGATGATGTATCTCCTAAAAAAAACAAGGTTTCTAATGTCATGTGCGGTGTTTTTTTACCAGGTCATTCGAATGATATACTTGATGGTAGTCGAGAAACCAGTTATCAACCAAAGTTAATCAAAGTGGATGGGTATCGGAAGTTCGATGTTAATCTAAGGTCACTCCATGAACTTTGCCTGTGGGGTAGCAAAATTGGAATGGCAAAGCTCAAAAAGTTTTACAAGGTAAAGATAATAAATGTAATTTTGCATTAAAAGTAATACAATTGTCTACATAAATTCATTCTATATAGTTAGTTTATAGAAATTGTGAATAACTGACCAGTTAAAGGCAGTTGGCAATTGGCATACAATAAGAGTTTTAATATGGGGGAACTGATGGGAGGGGTTTAAAGTTGGAGTGGGGTGCCTTGATGATTAAGTGAGTGAGGTATTAGATTGCAAAATAAGATGATTTGAGGTGATTTTTAACTAACTTTAAAGCCCCTAGATGCACTTTTAATTAACTTTTGAGCCCCTAGATACACCACTGGTTAAAGGGTGGAATAAAATAAGAAAACTTTGTTGATCCAATAAGAGAAACTAATATTGTTTTTCAAATTTATATGAAATATAAACTAAAAATATCAATTATTATTATTATTATTATTATTATTATTATTATTATTATTATTATTATTGTTATTATTATTATTATTATTATAATTATTATTATAAATAGGTACACAGTAAAGTGTCAGGGGTGAATTATTCATTGTCTTTTGCTGAGATTCTCTTAATATTCATTTATGTAACATTTCCTAATTAATAATGCATTAGAAATCAGTTGCACATGCTTGAATCTTATTGTGTGTCCTGCTACCTTACAACAATATTAAAGTATCACTGCATTATCCCATGGAGAGGAAGGGGAGTGCTTTTAATAAGGATAATTTTAGTGCATAGGGTCCTGGGATTAAAGGTCTATCCACCAAGTTAATAGAGTTAGCTTATTAGTCATAGGTCTATTAAACAATACAGTTTTTGCTGATTCAAATCATTTTTACTATGAAAATTCTTAAATTGTTTGCCTGCCTTTCCTAAATAATAGTATTTTATCTGTCAATTTGCTGGGCAATATTTTCTTGTTCAAATTGAAATGTCATACCTTGATCACACAATAGAGCAATTAGGATATTGATTAATAATTAACACTTACAGTACAGTATATTTGAATAGGATTATATAAAATTGTTGACATATATCATTTTTATTTTTTTAGTATTTCAGCAGAAGAAGTGAAACATTGTCAATGGAAAGGATGGAATCAGATATAGAAAAGCCTTCCTCTTCACTCCTGACTATAGGCAGAACAGTTACTGTTAATTTCATACCAGAAAATTATGTGTAAGTGTTTTTATAAGATGACAGTACTATGATGCCTGTATATGGGAAATTCATTCATATTTTTCACATAAATCTTGCTACTGTGGATAGACCTTAAAGCCAATGATCCTGTCTAAAGGCCTGTTTATACTTCAACGATAACGCTAAAAGCAATAATAAGCTAAAAAGCAATTGTTCATATAGAAAATAAAAGAAATAAGTTTTTACACTAGAATTATTCGATAACGATTTATCAGTTATGCGATAACAACATATTTTGACAAATCAAATGAGATGACGACATAATCATTTAAAAACATTAAAATCGTTTTAGTATCAACGATTTTATCGTTTTTCCATGATTTGACGTCATCTGATTTGATTTGTTAATATATTTTGTTATCGTATACACGATAAATAGTTATCGAATCGTCCTAGTGTAAAAACTTCTTATTTCTTTTATTTTCTATATGAACAATTGCTTTTTAGCTTTTTTATCATTATCATTATCGTTGAAGTATAAACAGGCCTTTAAGCTCTATCCAAATTTTCAAATAATCTTTGACAAAAACTGTTGTATGCCATATTTAGTCATGATGTGCCTATATATGGTAATGATGTGGTGTCATCATGACCATATTTAGGCATGTTATTTGTTTTTGTCAAATAAAATTTTATAGTCTGGACTACAGACTATCTAGATTCACTACAGAATGTTTGATCAAACTTTTTTAAATATTGTATTCCTGTTTGTTCCCGACAAATCTCTTATGTCTATTAGGATTTTGGGAATGCTTCACTTCATCAAACACAGTATCATCAAACATTCTCAATTTTTTTGTATATTTATAACATAACAATAATAATAATAATAATAATAATAATAATAATAGTAACATGAAACATGTCAATGAGAAATCTAAATGTCTGTTCAAACATTAATCATTCTTAGTTTGTTTTTACACTAAACTAATATATGTACTGACTCTGCTTGTTATATCCCCAGGCAATATAGTAGAGCTCCTTCCCACCAATGCCATAACCTACACAGTGGTTGTAGGACCTGCAATTTATCTGACAGAATGTCAGTAAGTATTATGTTTACTTGAATAAAAACACAAGTCTGTAAAATCCACATTAAGTTTCAAAAAGATTTAGTCATGATTTTGTTGGACTATATTCTAAAAAAAAAATTAAAAAAATAAAGGTTATATGGTGATAGTTTTATTGAGATTTGTTGACAAAGAGAAACTGGCCATTTGTCAGGCTTATTTTTGACTTTTAAATGTTGATCAACATATTAGTTAAATATGTTTATTATTGTTAGATAATGACATGCTCCAGTGCAAATACAGTGCCACTATTAACTGATGATGAAGATGGATTTGGACTGCTTCCTTCAAGCTATGAAACTAAGTTTATCTCTGGCTCAGCATTTGCTTCAACTGAGTAAGCATCTCCATTTGATTCATTATGCTTGTATTCCAAGGATTTCCAATATAGCAGTGCTAGAGTTGATGAAATTTAGGGGCAATGCAGGGGCTAAGAAAATTAAGTTAGCAAAGGTAATTTGACAAAAGGTTAGTTTTATGTAATAAAATAGATTTAAAATATTTAGCTTCCAATCAGGGGTTTAGCCAGAAAAATGAAATAGCCCTTCTAAAATGGAAGCCAGTGGGCGTGGCCCTGAGCCAATCGATGGGCCACGTTCACTCGGGACCACGCCCCCTCCCAAACTTAAGGAAAATATATAAAATTATGATCTTTAGAGTGCAGTTAAAGGTGTTTAAATGTTGGAATTTTGTCTTCAAAGGAATAGTGTTGAATTAGCTATCACAAAGATATTTCAGTTATATACACAGCTTGCACATGGCTACGGTTACTCATATATTGTTTGTAGGCTATGCAGATGCATCTTCTTCTCTTGCCCTCTTCTAATGTAAATTCTACTCTTGGTCCTCCGAATCACGAGATAGGCCTAAACCTACTGTATTTTTTGTTGGCTAATAAAATTTAAATTGTAACAAATCTTTACGGTATGTCATGAATTAATTATAACCAGAGAGTTATAAACAGCAACAATATTACAGTATATCGAGGAACCGAATCTCAAGTATTGTATTTGCTTTGCAGAACCACGTGCATACGTTGTGGGCGACTCAGAACCGTCCATCTTCCAGCGGTGTATCAATGTTTTAAACATGATACGTGTTGTAAGTGAACTTTTCACCGGGTGGGCAATGGTTAAGCCTTACATTTTTGGGAATCCCCACCGAATATTGGTATGAAAACAATGTACATGCAATCAATAAAGGTTGTTTTTATCAAACGTAAATATGATTTAGCTTTAGATTAATGTAACAATTGATAGATTTGAAGAATATGAACTTGCTAAAGGTAGACCAGGCTCAATTAGGCTAGGCTGAGCTGATTAGTCCAAACCATCCAAGCCATCACGGTAAAGTGGCCATCCTAAATACTTGTTGGCCCTCCAAAAAACGGCCGGACGACTAGCTGGCTAAGCCTATGCTTCCAGTGCAGTATGTATTGAATGGTAGATCTAGAGTAAATGAATTTTGACAATATATTGTTTGGGTTGTCTTGGCCACTTGTAATGAATACATATATATGTAGATATATGAGATATATATGAACATAAACCTGGTTATGGAAATTTCATTCTGATGATAAAATGTTGGAATTACAGGTATGTGTACAATGATTGACATATATTTTATCAGGTGACATACATATTACCATGTGACATAGATCACAGAATATCACCATCTTAATAAAAATTAAAACCATTGATCGTGACGATATAAAATATAATGCTGCACACTTATGTAAAATGCACTGTTAAAAACCAGTGATAACCATAATATCGATTGCTTCCTTGCAATTATGCAGCATTCAACAACTTCTGATGCCCATCCATATTATTAAATTTTCTTTGACAAAAAACTGTTTTATGCCCATATTTAGTCATGATGTGACTATATAATGGTCATGATGTGATGTCATCATGACCATATTTGGCATGTCACATGTTTTGTGTCAAATATTGTTATACAGTAGTCTGGCCAGGGCTTAAAGCAACCAATAACCTTCACATGTATGTTAGAATGTTATAATTGATAAGAAAGCATTGAAACATGTGTTTTGCTGAAAAATTGTCAATTTTTAAAATTAATAATGGTGGACTTAAAAGGCGCATATTGTCATGACCTCTATGCACATCACAATGAAAAATAAGTTAAAAAATATAAATGTCAAAATAATATGTTGCTAAATACACTCCTAGCTCCTTAAACTAAGTTATGGTTGGCCGTTGACTCTGGAGAGCTCATCCGCCCTTTTGTTCAGTTGTTGTTTTTTCTTGCTTCTGGGGGACCATGGCACCCTCCCCTCAGCAGCCACTAAGATACAGCTGAGTGGGGTTGTCGGATTCAACCAGATGGAGTTTATAGTTTTGCTCAGCACAGACCTAACTAACTTAAGCTACCTTACTGTAAGCAACACTTAATTACTTTTGGTAAAAAAAAAAGTATTCCCTGCCGGACACATCTGGGTACTTCTAGGTGTTGGAGCTGTTTATTGTTTTACTACAGACATAACCAGTTGCAAGTTAAACTAATCAGATTCAAATAGAAATGTTTTTAAACAGGATTTAAATATGTCAATTGAGCTGCCATCTTTTATTAATTAGGCAAAAGTGCATGTGTGTGTGTGTTGCACATAAACATCACAAATTAATGAACACTGATAAAGTGTAGCGCATCTCCCTTTTTTTAAAATGGAAAACCTGTCTATATTTATCGAAAGATTTTAACCTCATTAAAGAGAGTGTTGTATGCCACAAATCGGTGTAATATATTGAGGTGAAATGTCTGTGTGTACAAGTGACAAATAACAAAGTGTAATTGTCACTTTACTAATTGATAAAACTGTGGTGAAATTCTATGCAAACAATGTCATGCGTAAGACTGGCAGAATATAAAGTAGCTTTGAAATTTTTCAAGGCTGCATTTACTAAATCAATTTTAATGAAATATGATTCTTTGTGAAACACTGTTAAAATATTTTCAAGTATGGCTAAATGATAATGGATTTATTAATTACTAACTTTACATTTAGCTGTAGGGGATGCAGCACTGCATGTTGAATACATGTGCGTGTTGAAAATAAGCTGCTTTTTTTTTAAACCATGTATTGTTCAGTACGTGTCAGAAATATTTTGACGTCATTATTTCGATTTATCAGTTACAGTGGACGTTACGCTCCATATTGATGCTATGTGAGTGTGTCATCCACACCCTATTATTCAATTTTCAGATATCCTATGTACAAATTTTAATAGACCCTTTTTATTTTAAGATGTATGCAATGCATCAGTGCCCTCACAGTTGACAGTCATTGAAAAGGCGACAGTTATAAGAAATTTAGACAAAAATGAAGCAAGCTATGATTTATTTTATGAGCCATACGGAAGCTACATAAATGAAATTTAGATGACATGACTATATATAGGAATAGATAAAAATGAAGAATGCAATAAAAATGTATTTTTATATTTTGAATGCAAATATAGTCCATAATATTACCATAATAAAACAATAAATATTACCGAGCAATGAAAAGATAATAGTGATGAACAACAGTCAATTTCAAATTGAAATAAAGATGTTTATTCTTAATGCATTACTCAAACTGATTTATTTGGTTTTTTTAAAATAAGGCCTAAATAATTAGTTTACATACATATCAATGCATTATTCTTGTAACTTAGGGTACCTAACTCATAAAACAGGGAACATCATAATTTTTGTTTGTTTTGTCTAATTTCCTATTAGGCTTACTTCTCTGTATTAACCTGCCCATTAGGTGAGACTTTCTTTATACCTTGTATAGTGAACTTACTTTTTTAAAGATCATCAGAAGAGGTTGGAAAAAAACAATTTGTTTTCTTATTTAGCAAATGATTATGCCAAACATCCAGATGGAGGAGAAAATGAAAATAAAATTTTATTGGTGAAGGTAGACAGTGCAGTAATGGGATGGTTAATGCTTTAAATTTATATAATTAAGGAGAAATATTCATCTTATTTTTGAAGACTTCAAGGTGCCAGCAAGCATAATATTAAATAAAGAAAAACTTTTATTTTCATATGAAATCTCTATTTTTTGTGGCTTTGGGTGTGCTAATTAGCAAAAAATAAAATTTTCTATTCAAAATCACCATTATTGGCGGGCGGCAGCTTTGCTAAACATTGCAAGGTATAAAAGTAGTCTGGCCTTATCTGTTGTAGCACACGTTGGATACATACAGACATGTAAACAGTATATGAGTTTGTAGAAACGCTGATTTACTTGTTATAAGTCTCCAGAGTACTGTATGTGGCACATAATGACAGAGGGGATTACAAACAGTTCTGTCTTTACTACACAAAACATATTGTTTTTCACATTTTTTTTTTTATTTGCTAGAAGGGAAAAAATGATGAACAACTCTGAAGGTTATCATTCTGTTTCAGGTCCTTATATTACGATGCTTATGATAATCAGTCAATCAGCGACAGTTCAAGTGACACTTCTGATGAGTTTGATGATGGATGGGTGGAGATTACCGACTCTTCATCCCTTGGTATGTAGTCAGGGATTTGTTCTTTCTCTCTTGCCTCCTTCTTCATCCATTTATGTAATTAAATTGAATTTCAAAGAGGCACTTAAAAAAAGAAGTAATAGTATGATAATCAATCAATCCATCAGTCCATATATCTATCAATCAATCCATCGATTGATTGATTCATCAATCAGTCAATCAGTACATGCTCTGACATCCTACAAATGCAAATAGTGTAATAGAATTCTCAACATCCTTCAGTGTACTATGCAGTGTTTTTCAACTCCTCCGTTAGTCTTTCCGTTGTTCTTAGTTGTATATTTCTTATTCTCAACAAGCACTATTTCCGTGTTCATGATTGGTTTATTAGACAATCTGTATCTTAACCTATTCTAGCTGCAGAAAGCATCTCACTTAAATTTTACGATTCACTTGTGAAAGATTAATGTGGTTAGAGTATAACATGGTAAATGAGTTTTTCCATAGAATCAAACTCCCTGTCAAACACTCAATTTTAAACAATTTGATATAAAGTTTATCTTCTACATTCTCATCTTTAACATCCTTTAAATGTCCTTAATAAGATACTAGACTTGAGCCGTTTCAAGGGGGAGACATGCAAGACAGGCAGATCTTGAAAGCCATCAATGTTGAAGTACATCACTTCACTTCGATCATTCTTATAATTCCCTATTATCACAATGTTGGTGGCGCTATAATTTTTTTTTTGTTTTTTTTTTTTTTTGAGGGAAATACAACTCTGGTTTTCGGTCTTGCCACTTCATATTCAAAAATTTTCAGTACATTAATCTTGTCACCATTGTATTTTATTGATTGATTCTTCAACTGATGAATCTATTAAAAAGAAGTCATTAGTTTCACAGCTGAAACAATTCTGAACTGTAAATGACATTCCTTTTAAAATGGAAAATAGTTTCTGGTGGCTGTGACTGAAGCCTCCTTCAATATTCTATTCCAAGGATTGCAATAGCATGATTTACAAAAGGTCGTGGGGGTGCACCCCTTCTAAAAAAGGTTTGCGTCCCTTATACACCCCCACTGGAAATTTACTGAGCCAAACATTATGTAAGTAGTTAAAAATCGTCTTATATCACATTTTTTTGCTAGCAGCACCCTCTTGCTTAATCATTCAGCCCTCAACCTATTGAATACCAGATTCACCAACTAAATGTTATATAAGGTAGAGGATGCTAAATGCTTAAAAGCTATTGTCTGTATGTACCTCTAGCTAGAGAAACTCCTTTAATTATCCTCGTTATTAAGTAGCAGTGATTTGCTTATCTGAGGCCCTGTGAATAAGAGCTGAAGTCAAGAAATGCATCTTTAGAAACCAATGATAAATATTTTTTTTAGAAAAATGTGTTGATCTCTACTAGGATTTGCTAAGATATGAGGCCATACTGATAGGACACATTTTACTATGCAATTTGTTGCATACAGTGTTGTGTGTATATTAAATGACAATAATGTTAGTGGCAATGTTAGTAATATTTTAATGGAAAGACAAGTTGATGTCTGGCTACCATGAAATGTTTTATTGGGAGTAAATAACAGCATGCGGTAACTGTACATCCACTTTAAAACATTTAATGTATTATGTATTAATTTCCCACTAAATAGAGAAATCATAAAGACCACATTTAGTGCCCAGGAGTCCCAAGTATCCTACACAGTCCAGGAATGGAGTCTACTTGAAATAATAATAATAATAATAAAAATAATAATAATAATAATAGTCAACTTATTATAGAGAACACTACATTGTATTGTTAGAGACCTCAATGCGCTTAACATCATGACCCCAGCTCATTGAAATAAAGTATCTCCTGCAATTTATGATGATATTTGCATGCCATTGCAAGTTTCTACAACTGTATTATTTGTCCCGCAGCAGTTGGTGGCAATCGTAGTTGTTATCACCGTGCACAGCGACAATTATTTATTGTAGGTGTCTTAAGAAAAGTCATATAAAGAGATCTGCCAATGTGGATTCTTCCAACTTGAGACCCCTTGTTGAGTGCCTGTCTTTAACTATAGGGATTCTATTATACACCAAAGACAATAATTTTGGCAGACCAAACTGAACATTTTCTTGTACTTTTAAAATATAATCATATTAGTGTAGGTTACAGACTGCAGACATCAAAATGATATATATCAAAGGCTGATATTTTGTGTGTACGGTGCTCCATACTGAATACAGTTGTGTCGTAGGATGTTGTATTTTTCTAATTAAATGGACATTTGGGAAAGACAAACGCAGGACTTGATGTGTGGCTACCGAGAAATGGCTTATAAATGAATCAGTAACAGCATACAGTAATCCATTCTTAAACACCACTGGGAGAAAACATTGAAACATATAAATGGTTTTGGCAGACTGAACTGAAGGTTTACATACCATTTTTTTACGTTTCAATCCGTTATCAATGAACCTTCATTAGTCAAATTTGTTTTGGTTTACCTAACAAAGAATTTTTTTCCATGTTTCACAAACACCAGATGAAACTATTTGTTGCAACTAAAAAATATTCCCTTCAATGAATATGGTACATTGAAAGATATAGTGATTTTAATTTTTTAAAAATAGAAGAAAACATTTAAATATATGTTGATATGATGATAGATATACATCAAAATAATACACACCATAAGATGATGTTTTGTGTATACAGTTCTCTTTATTGAACTAGTGGGATCTTGTTGTTAGTAATATTATGATGGTGATTTGGGTAGAACCAGTGCAGGAGGCTTGATGTGTGACTACCAGGAAATTGTATATTAAGAATCAGTAACACTATACAGTAACTGTATCCATTTTATAAATACTTGGAATAAAGCAATCTTACGATTTATATCGTTTCTTAATTTCCCTCTAAACAGGCATTTAAAGACCACTTTTAGTGCTGATCTTAATTTCGAGAGATTCTAAGTAGAGACCAAAGCTGCTAAAGACCACTAAAACCATGGTCCCAAAAGTGGTCTTTAATTGGAGTGAGACCTGTATTATATTCAAGTTTGATTGATTGTCGCAAATTAGATAATCTGTGTAACATACAGTAATACTTGCTACTTTGATGAATCTTTTAAATTTAGCATCCTCTAAATATGGCATCTTCAAGCAAAAGCAGACATAAGTTAAAAATCACAAAATTAGGATTTTTGCATCATAATAAGTAGGAGAATGTAAGCTTTGTAATACTGAAAAAATCACTTCAATGCAAGTTCTATAACCACAGATATTACAGATTAAAGAATACAATGTTTAAATATAAGTTTTGAGAAATAAACAGTCAAAAACTGGTCTCAAAACAGTAAATAAATCTGGTATTGTGAATGAATAAAGTTTAAACTTGAGTATTTTGGCAAAAAACAAAATTTTGATTTTTTTTTCGACTTTTCCATTTATTCAGCAATTTACTAGAAATAACTGTACCCCTTGCAACTTATGTACGATTCACTTGGAAGCGCCACAAATGTTTGTTTCTTTTGTTTTTGTTTTTTTTTTATTATGTTTAAACCTCTCTTGATTTCAAATGATGCCTTAATAATCAACCTAGTCACTCCATCAGCTCATGTGAGGCTTTGGGAGTGGAGTTGTTTTGTTGGGAGTGTATGCCACATTTAATAAATTGTAATAGTAATGGTTCGTCCATTAATATAGCACCTTCCGCAATCAATATTCACTCCAGGCACAGCACATGTTTGTTTAAAAAAAAGTCAAATCAGGAAATAGCCTAAATAACCAAAGACCGAAAAAAAAAACCAATAACAAACATAACCATACATCATCACACAGTTTCACCAACTTGCCGTAAGTATCAAATTTACATATGTCATAATCATGCCAGCATGTAAACTTACCTTACCACCTAACAAACAATACAAAAAAATGTAATCAGTAAATGGGAAATAAACATACAAATTAATGACAAAGGAATGTGTCTTGGCAATGAGGTTTAATGGTATTGAAAAAGTAAGTTTTCTGCTTCAATATTCAATCAAAGATGCTTCTACATTGTAGTGAATTTCACATCTTTGGGGCTATATAGTACAACAGAGAAAACCCTTTCACAGTAACTCTTGAGAAGAGATGATGTAATCGATAACGTAGGTGTTTTTGTCAATCATCTGAGTGTCCAAAAGCATGTTACAGCCTCACAAATTTAGAAATATATATATTGTGGAGCCTTCATGTTTAAAACCTTTTAGGTTTGGATGATAAATTTGTCTGTTGGTATTGCCAATGTTAGTAATAGTGTGGGTGTGAATGAAAATGAATTTGATAAAAAAAAAAAAGCACGAACAAAACCTAATCACCTTAAAACTGTGCATTCCAAAATGAAATACCTACATCCATCCTAAAAACGATTACAACCTTCATTGATGAAACTTGTTCCAAACAAGTAGAAAACTAATCTATGTTATATTGATGGATAAGATGTAGGGTTTGATTAAAAATTATAGGTTGTTAAATTTTGATGGATTTAAATATTTGAAGTTGTAAATAACAAAAAATATTAAATTTTTTCCCAAAAGCTGAAATGAGAAAGTAATTTTAGAAGTGTATTTGATCATTTGAACTTAATTAATTTTTATTCTTCTCTGTTGTTAAGCGCCTCGAGGTTGTGTCAACGTGAGGCGCTATATAAATCCAGAATTATTATTATTATTATTATAGATTAATCTGAAAGGCTCAATCTATGACAGTAGAAACTTCACAATTTTCAATCTTTTAAAATCCTCAATCTTAGTAATTGAGCAAAAAAATACCAAAAAATATTAGTTTTGTTGTTTTCGAAAATAATATCTACAAATATCTAGTTGTAGCCTTAGTGGCGTGGCTGTGTTTGCACACCACTTGAAAAATGATCAGATAAAAACATTAAAAGGGGACTCCAATTATTGTACCAATAATAATAATAATAATGTTGCTTTTGATTGTAGAGGATTTATTTTAAGTTACAGTCTTTCCTTTCACTTGCCCTCCTATAATTTGGTTATCATTCTAATACTGAACTGAAGTTTTTTTTTCTTTGCTATGTTATGGGCATTATACACACTGAATTTTAATTTATTCAGATTTGGTGGGCAAGGGGGAAGATGAAGTACTGCTTTAAGATCAGGTGTCATATTTTGTAATAATTATTGGAGAGTACTAGAATTGCCACTTCTTCGGCATTAATTTTTTTTTGGATAAATTTTCTAGAACTCCTGTAAATAATAAAGCAGCCTAAACTTTCTGTAGCTATTTGGCAGAAAGGAATTTAATTTCTGTTCATAGTTTAACCCTACAATACCACCATGGTTACAAATTTATCACCTGGTACTTTAACCCTGTCTAACTAAAGAGTATAGAACTGTAAGAGGTCCAACTCTCAGGGGGTTTCGTTGGAAAGTAATCTTATTTCATATACTGTAAGTACTACCACAATCTAGAGGGCGTCCTTCAAAATTAAATTTTTTGTTAATTTTTTCTCAATTCAGTTCTGCAATAAAAAAAATTTATTTGAATGAAAAAAGTTTTAATAATAAAAATAATAATAATAAATGAAAACTTGTATACATACACGTCAAGGCTCACGCATTCGGCATGAGACTCCGGCATTTGCGGTCTATCGCACACTGTCACGTTTGAGGACCAAAATCTCATGCATATGATGTAATATTGCCATAATAAAAAAATATATGTATACTTTTTTGCTCTCTTGCTAATATTTATCATTACAGTGCTTAAAATAGGATGGTTTTGTCGTTACACATTCGAACACAAATAAATGGTGCTGCACCACACCCTTGTTGAGGTGGTTGGCTTTCTATTTTAAAGTAAACTTGTCGATATAAATTTTGATAAGGGTTTGGTAAATATTCCAAAATCTCTTTTACTAGTTTTATCATGAGATCGGATAAAACTAGCTGCATCAACACTGAATATGCCATTCTTTTAAAAAGCACTGTCAGTGTCGTCAGATAAGATCAAAGAACGCACTACCAACCGCCACACGCTTGACTTGTGTGAGTGTGACAGGTTCGTGGACAGCAGAAACATGCATTCTCAGGAAAAATAATGCGGATTCTTAACCTACTTTCAATTGTAAAAATACTAGCCTAAAGAATGTATTTCCGAGCATCTAGGAAAGGATTTTTTCCGGGTGAAGGGGGAGGGGGAGCGCATCAGGCCCACGACCCCTAGGGGAGGCGCTCCTGGCGCTTTGTGCATTAACAACCGGAGAAAACATCCATAAATAATGATGTTTAAAAGATATTCTTGAAACTCTTCAGACTAGAAGAGTATTTAACTGTTAAGTTTTAAACTCTATTCAAATTCTTATAGTGCACCTTTCTCATGGTAGAACTTTTTCAACATTTCATTGTGGCATACAAAATCAGGGACGTTGGACTTCTTGAAAATCTGTACTCTTTGGTATAACTTAGTAATATCCATGTTACTGTCTGAAAATATTTTATTTATTTATTTCAACAATATTTTGTGAGGGTAGCCCATCCAGCCAGAGTTGATCAGTTGGGACCCTCAGTACATACAATAAAAGACAAAAGAATAAGATGAAAATTAAACTAGATCTTTAATATTTAACATAAACAAATTAATTATATAAAACAAAAAAAATTAAAATGAACAAACTTATTAAAAAGAATAATGATTAATTAATATTATCAATAATATATTATTAATCATTAATTATTATTAATAATGATGTCTGTTTAAAAAAGGTAAATTACAATGGATATGTTTTCTCACCTGGGCACTCTACCTGATCTGTGTTTTAAAAATTGTTTGTCCCTTCACCTTTTGTATTGTATCTTCATCTTGACATTTGATTTACCTTTGTTTGTTATTTCTTAGCCTGTGGTGAAACAAACTCTTAGTGTTATAAATTGGAATGGATGAATGATCCTGATCCATAATACAAACGTAAATTGATCAAATGCACAATCAAATGATGTAAATTACATGCAGAGAGATTTGTTCTTTGATATTTAGTGACAGTTATTCCAGGATGTTTTTCTACCTAAAACGCAACATTAATTTAGACTCAACTGAGATTCAAGTCAAATTACTCTTGGAATAGAACCTTAAATAAATGTCCACAGAATTGAAAGGAGAGCACTTTACCCACCAAACCACTTTATCTTTAAAGTTTAAACCAATTTATATATCACCATATAAAGAAAAAAGACAACCAATTTTTTTTGTGTGTGTTTATTTACAGTATCATCCAAATTACATTTATATATAACAGTAAAGTAATATATCATATCATATATCTGAAAAATTCAATAAAACAATTCTGAAGTACAGTATTTCTGTGCACTCAGTAATAATTGAGCAAACTCATAGATAAACGAGAGGGAATCTTTGACACGAATCAAACTGCACAGGTCTAGTTTTCCGTTTTGAAATCGTTCATTCTCGTTTCTCTCATGAAACCTCACGACCGGAGAGTCAATTGCTCATCATACTTAACTGTAGATTTCCTGCCAGTTCAACATACTCCTTATTCATATTTTTCTTAAGCTGTATAACTTATGTTGTATTGATTTCTTTTGAAAAGAGTCTGATGGTTGTTTTGAAGTAATAATTTCAGCGAGACAGTGTAGCCCACCAACTCATCTCCTCAAATCCAGAGATTCAAAATTCTCAGTCATGTTTGCACGATTTATCTCTGATTTCATCCTCTCTAGACTTGAGCTTTCTTTAAATTGTAGAATACAGTATTATTTATTTATCTTTATTTTACTTGTTTGCTTCATTTCCTACAATTTTTTTTTTACTATTGGGATTTTTCCCTTTTTTTTTAATTTTAAATATATTGTTGCTGACAAACTAGGTTTTAATATGACATTATTTGACATTAAAAAAAACGTGTCTTTGATAGAATTTGATCCATGATAAAAACATAATTACTGAATTAAATTGGCATTTCACATCATCATTGTCATCATCATTACTGGTAGATCGAAACGTCACAAGTACGTATTTATTCATTGGTTTCAATTCATGAATTTACCTTTTAATCCTCATTACTTTCGTTTATCATCATCACCATCATTTATTTTATTATCTTTATTTTCATATTCATTAAAACATCATTTGTAGTTATCATCATCTTCATCATCATTATCATTTGTATTCATCATCGTTATCATGATGATGATGATCATCATCAGCATCATTTCTAGTCATCGTCATTATCATCATCGTCGTCGTCAGCCCACATAGATCAACTTGGCTGGGCAAGGGGCGTATTCTGAAGATATTTCTGATGAGTTTCTGCCATGGCATTACTTCAAAGGATTTCTGATCTCATTTCTCCCATTATTTTTTATCTTCTTTGTTCATTATGCCATAATTATTTTAAAACATTATTGTTGACTTTCAGTGTCAAGTTCACCTCACCAAACCTCAGGATCATGTTTTGAGGATAATACTAGCTTAGGTAGTGAAGGTCAAGCAGAGGTCAAAGGAAGGACCCAACCAGATAATGATGTCACTTTTAAAGACAATGATGAAGACAAGTTGTCTGGAAGTGCAGAAGATACACTTGAGGTTGATTCAGGTATGGCCCAATCTGACAATGGGAGGTCAAATGATGTCAAGTTAGACAGCCTTGGTAGCTCTTCATCTCAGACAACACCAGGTAAGGCTTTTTTTTAATTTCTTATTTTCAATTACTAGTTTCCAAATGTAATTTATATATATTTTTTTTTATTAGATGTGTCCTACAATCTTTGTTTTGATTTCCTGTAACTACAAAACACCTGTAGTTTTTATAGCCAGCCGCATTAACATTACTGCCAGCCACATCAGCGCTACTGTTTATTTTGCGGTCTGGCTAGGTATTCCGTGACGTAGACATGCGCACTGTTGTTCAGCACTGAAGCGATGCTGCAGTTTTTATCAGGCGTAAACAACTCATAAAAGATGGCCGTCAAAGCACTCATTTTAATGTTTTTTGGAATTTTTTTACTTACAACGCCATTACCACCCTAAAACCCTGCCTATTCGCTCAATTAACACTATACGTTCCCCAAATTTTGATGGTTTGTTCAGCCCCTGAGTCTTTGGATAAATTTGGGCTTACATGAATTTATAGTAAGATAAATTATGCAAGTACTGGTTAACTTATTTGTAGGTGGTAATATCCAAGATAGGGAACTATCGTAGTGGTAGTAATGTCCAGATGAACTTACAGGAGAGTTTCTTTTGACATTATCCAGGTGTTGGCAATGGAATTATCCTGGTGGCACTTCTCAATTGTAGTCCCGCCCCCACCCCTGGACCCGGGCCATAGCAGGGCACTAGCCGGGACTGAGTCTCCATAGTGCCGGGACATACCTGAAATTTACCCGTAGATGTAAACAGGCCTGGTCTGGTCTGGTCATACCTAGCCTACACTAGGCCTAGGCATCTCAGTCAGCAACTTCTGTGTGTTTTGGTAATTAAAAAATCGCCTACCAGTACAATATTCCTACCATCATGCTTTCATTGTGGAGGTCACAGTATAACCAGGCGTGACCATAATTGAAAAGTGCATAAGGGGATATTTTTAGGTGATGTTAAAGGGATCATTTACTGGTAAGCAAAATATTGAGGTGGTGCTAAGGAAATTTTCTAGGTACTAACAGTTAGTAATAACGGAGTAGAGTTGAATAGCTTGGTGGTTAAGATGCTTGCCTTCCAATCCCAGGGTCCTGGGTTCAATTCCTGCCAGTTGCAGGATTTTTTCTCACGATATAAACAACTCCACTCCCTAAATTTCATATTGAGATTTAGTTTGTGTAAAGCATCGTGTGTGTATGTTTGTCTTGTGTAAAGGATTGTCACCTACATGTAGGACAGTGATATATATTCGCTATTGGCAATCCTTGGCACATGTGTTGTGTGCCTAAAGAAAGAATAATAATAATAATAATAATATTAGTTGTGTTGTATTATAGAAAGAATAACGTTACCTTTTAATATATTACACAGTGAAGATATATTCATGAGGTACTCTTGCATTTATATAGCGTTGGTGAAATATTTATTTATTTATTGCAATTTGCTTTTCAATTGTAGCGCCGCCATTTGGGGCTCTTAATATTTTTTATTTGCCTATCCGCAGGGCATAGTTAACTGTAAATCTTCCATATTCAATAACAACATCAATAATATAAAGAAATTGGCCATTAAAAGTCAGGGAAGTTTACTTGCTAACAGTCAAAGTAGAGAAGAAAATAACAATTAAAAAGTCAAAGAAGGACATTAAAACTTCCAATGACTATTTGCAGTGCAGCTGGCCTTGTTACATGTGATGCATGCAACGTGCAGTGCTCATATATGCACCTCCTGGCACATTATATAAAGGTTGTCCTAGGCTTCTTCTAAGAAACATTTCAAGTATTATAACTACTCTCTTTCTACTGATAGATTTAGTCTAATATCATTTTCTCCACAAATTTAAATCACCTTTCACTTTTTTAGTGCACCTAAGATACAATTATAGCCTTGTTCATAGCTTTGAACTAGGTTGTTATATTTAGTACGCTTAAAATGTGGTTAAACAGCGAAGTATTACAGTTCCGTATCAAAGTAATACTAGAATTTGAATTAATAGCAGATAATAATTGTGTGAACTAGTTTTCAAACTAGGCTGACTTTGAGTATTAGGTTGTGGGGTGTACAAGTGCAGAATAAAAGGAACTATTCAACACACTGACATAAAAGACAGTTCATATTGACTGTAAAATGCAGCATCTTTAAAGCTCTTTCACTAGATGCAGCTTAATGCTTTTAGAACATGTTGTTAATTACATGCATTCTAGTTGTGAATAGATCATCTATATGCAAACTTCATTTTAGAAAGCAGTAGCAGTGACCAGCTTAAATCTGATTTTTTTCACGAATTAAGTTGGGGACTGATTACATTGGATTATCTTGATTATTCCTGCATTTCATATAGGTAAAGTTTTTTCCCCTTAAGGAGGGAATATATGCATCAATATAGCTATGATTCCTTGAAAACTAATCAATATTATTCATGAATCAAATCCAGAGTGAACGTTACTAACTAACTAATAAAATGGGGGTCTTGGATATGATGTCTTATTATACTTGAAAGGATGCTCTGCTCCAGGGAATGCTCTCTCTTATCAAAACTTATAATCCAAATTAACGGCCAGGATATTGAGGAAGCCATCATGCAGTCATATTTGTTCTCATAAACCTACTTGTTTTTATAACCCTTGGATTGCGCTCACAAATGTTATTAGCAGGTAAAGTATAAGACCATGTCTACAGGTGAATGCTGCAGGCTGTGGGAATTTCCCCCGTTGAACAGGCTTGGACCACCAGTCGCCCGACACCATAATGAGCTTGTTGGAAAAAAAATGTTAAAATAATAATAATTTGCCTATCCAAATAACATTATTTTGATTGCCAATCCCAAACATTATGGTCGAAAAGCACAATTTGGACTATACTAAAGCTATTAAAACTCTCCCTTTGAACACCACCAGGGATTTTTACTCAGGGACCCCTACCGAAGCTCTAGTCGGCCCCTTGGTTTGGACCCTTATTTCGGACCCCTTGTCGGCAGATTTCTGAAGCCACTGCTGTGGCTGCAGTCTTTTCAAAACATTATAAGAAACATATACTGACTAGCATATATTCATCTAATCTGGTATAATAGCCACAACCTTTAATAAAACACCCACCAAGTAATTTAGGCAAAACATGAAAACTGTAGAAAGTCTCGAAAAATAAAAATAATACAAAATACAAAATATCGATAATAGTTATTTATGGCATTATTTTGTTTGTCCAACCACAGATGCTATGGTCCAACAGACATTCAGTATCTTGAAGTATATAAATTTTGTCATTAGCACAGTAAAAACTTGTTTCAGTATACTTATATATTTTACCATTCTTTTTGCATCATTTAATGCTTTACAGTATCTTATGACTGATTGACAATTCCATTATAATCAACGCCTGTTGATAGCAACGGATTTTCAGTATTTTCATTCATTGTGCATCATTTAATGCTTTATCTTAGACTCTTTAAAAATTTCACTGTAATCAACACCTGTTGATAGCACAGCATCTTAATGGCTATTTATTATATATCGGATGGCGTGTCCCTTTTTTTTGTTACTGAATGTCTTGTCGTCTGCTTGTTCAAAAATGAGTTATCGTTTTACTTGCTCTTAGCATTAAGATGTGGTTATTCATCGTTTGTGGATTTAAATTGTGTTCTGCGTCATTTTCATAGAGCTTGGAAGTTGATGGATTGGTAAATTGTTGTTGAAGATGTTTTATCGGCAGACACATACAGCTCAAACTTATTTTTCCTCAAGCAAAAATTCAAATGTGAAGTGACTGATGCAATTAATGTAATTTAAATTATTTTTTTAACATTATTTAATTTTAATTTGTTATTAATATATTGTTGTTGTTTTGTACTATGTATCATTCTGGTATTGATTTCTTTTTGCTTTTTATTCCCCCCAAGACCAATACACACAGTGTATCTTATTATTCTTGTTTTTGTTGTTGCCAGAGGCAGATTTAGAAGGGGGCTGTTTGAAGAGTAAAAAAAAAGAAATCACTCAAAACGCCTCAGAGGTTAATTTTGGGCGTCTAGAAAACAAAATTTTCACGGGGGCATGCCCTTGGACCCCCTAAGGTAGTATCGTCTCGATCGGTCCCACTTTCGGCCCCATTTCGGACATCTCTGTATCAGCCCTGGTTGCTATGTGGCTGTTATTTTTGCTGTTATTGTAGTTATTTTTTTATTTTTGTTGTTATTACTATTAATAAATAAATTTATTACATCTTTAGTAGATGGAGCTGCAGGTTAGTTGTGAAGATGCTTTCCTTCTGCCAGATGCCAGGCTTCAAAATTCAGTCAAACACCAGCATCTGTCTTAACCATTAAAAAGCTACCCCCTAAGAATGCTAAACAATATCACATACAATATTTGCATGCTGCTTAGTTGAACCACTCTTTTGGGACACCCTTAGGGGATACTCCTAGTAATGGGACACCCCTATTATTTCGAAACCCCTCCTAAAGGGAGGAACTTTTTGGGCAGATGCTGTCCCTTTAAAAGGAGCTGTAATTTCACCATTTTGGTTTATGAATATATTTATAGTAAACTGATAACTTGAATGAGGGAAACTTTAATGAGAACAAGTTCATTTGTTTTAATACTAATTCAGATTATTTTGATATTGAAAACTAATTTGTAATTGAAGATGGACAGATGAACTTTGAAATATTGCATATCATGATGGCTTGCATTACAGTTTTTTTCATATTTTCTAAATTATTATAATTATTGTAGAATTAATTTTAAAAATGTAGCCTGATTAAGCTTTCTTGAAATATAGAGAAAGAGAGATTGTCTGAAACACTGAATATTACATTCATATGTAGTAAGTAGCAGCCTAGCAATTACTTCTTTTAAAATTTTTCTGAGCAATAACAGCTCTTTGGCATCCTTTTCCATAGTGTTCTTTGAACTTAATTGATAAAATGTTTGGCTCTATGTACTTTCCAGCTGTCTCTTATACACATCTAGATGTGTATAAGAGACAGCGATAATAGTTATTTATGGCATTATTTTGTTTGTCCAACCACAGATGCTATGG